TTGCAAGAAACTGAATTTATAATTAGAATTTTCTAATGCCAGATTACGAGGGATTGAAAGCTTTAAGGCATTCTCTTCTGGCTCACTGGGTTTCGTAACAGTGCAGCCTCACCCACCCTGGAGCACTGTCCTTCATGAGCCAGCTCCACCACCCCATACAATTCTGCAGCCGGGATGAGCCAGAGCAAGGCCCCTTCACCAGCGCTGCTCCAGCTCCTTCAGGCTCGCCCTTACAACGGAGATCCAAAGCTGGCGATGCAGTAACTGGAGCGCCCACCCGTATTTACGCATCGTGTCTGCTCTGCCCAGCCTTCAGAGAAGACTTCTGAGCCCCCATCCCGACTGTGAAGAATGACAAAAACACCATGGAGAAATGGTCTTCAAGTTGCTTTGGAGTTTGGTGGTTTGTCCTGTGCGGGCTGAGGAGTGGGAATTCTCCCTTCTGCAACTGCACAGCTATGGTCAGAGGCACTTGCACGGGCCTGGTGAGTAGCTACAGAACAGGCTAGTGAGCAGGATGTCTGTAGCCCATCAAAGGACTCTTGATGATCCATGTAAGTGAGAAACATCCAAATATAGCACAGCAGGATGGAAAGTCTGAGTTGAAAGCATGATGCTATGGAATGGGGCTGGAGGGCATGTTTGGCATGGGAAAAAAAATGTAATTTATCAATCACTTGACAAAAAGACAATAGAAAACGACAGCTACCAGGAGAATACATGATACAGTTTAAGTAGCTAATTGCATGTACCTCAGGGGAGGTGTAGATACACGTGGTCTGCTGGCCAGCTGGAGCCCAGTGAGCAGTGCTCCCAGCGTTATGGCTGGTGCTGGCTTTATAGCCTGAAAAAATAAACCACACAATAGGTCTGATCTTGAATTGAGTCTGTAATTAAACATGATTCCTTAAATCAGGATCAATTGAAATAGGCTCTGAAGGAACTGATAAAAAGACCAGCTGGTTGGCAAATAGCCAATTTTGGGAAAAACAGGGTAGGTTGCCATCCCAGGAGTGCTAATACTAATTGGGGAAAAACCAAGGGAGGGCAGAAGCAGCCATAAGGCTATGCTTGCCAGAGCATTGCTGGGAGCTTTAAGGACTGGATGGGGTCTGCTAGTGGGGTCACCTGTTTTACCTCCTTCCCCCATGCAGCTCAGAGCATGATGCGCTATGAATAACAAAAAAAGGTGGGCTGCCCACAGCTCTCACCCCACCTCACACAGGGGATATCTGCTAGGAAGAGGTCTCAAAGTCATACTCTATAAGGAAGGAGGGAATACACAGCTCCTATCCATCTGGATAGGTATAACAGCCTCATGGGAGCTCTGCCTGTAAAACACCCTGCACCAACATGCAACGACCCAGGATAACAAATACATCAAGGGTGCCAGGGACCAGGTTCCCCCCAAACGGCACTCCTCACTTCAGCACTTCCACTCAGTGGTCGTGCCTGCCCCAGATACCCTCCCCAAAGCTGGCGGCTGCTGGAGGAGACAGAGAGAAGGACACAGCTCAACACCACCACATCAAAAACAGCTGCTTTCTTCCTTTACAGCACAGTGATCCTCCAGTATTGCTGTTTCTTCAGCATGGTCCAGAGCAGTATTAAGAAAAAAATATACACAAGAGTGGATAGAGATTGTTCCATTATTGTTTTCACTTTCTACATGCTGGGCTTTACCACCTGAATAGCAAGTTGGGCGGTGGTTACAAGCACCTTCTGGTTGCAGATGTAGGAGCTGGGCACGTCACTGCTGTGGGATATTGGTCATGAAACCTCTGCTTGGACTATTGTATTGTCTCCTGTCACATACATGATTCATTTTTTGTGAGAAGTGAAAGTTTATTACGCGGAAATACTGTATGGAGTTCAGAATAGCTTTTGCAAGAGGTAGCAGAACAGAAACTAATTAAAACTAAGGACACATGTGATGGATTAAAATTGCACAGCCCAGAAAAGCCAGGAGGCATTTCTGGAATAAATGTTACAAGTTACAGCCTTAGAAGTAGAGATTTCATAGAACAACAAGTAGAAGAACAAGGGAAAAAGGAATTTAGAGAGTATAAATCTTGCTTTATAAAAACAAACTTACACCGGCTAGCAGCTGAGATCTTGACAATCATCTCCTGGTCAGCATGAATTTCTTGTATACCCAACACCAGCAAAACTGTGGGATCAAACAGATAAATGACCCATGAACCTTCGGAACTGCCTTTAAAACAAAACAGACATACAGGTTTTACTGTAAAGCAGCAAAAATGCTGTTTTGCTGGTATTTTTACACCCACCAAGAATCATTTGGTGACACAGCACAGCAGCATATCTAAGGGAAGAAAGTGCTTCTGGCAGGGACAAAGTCAGGGAGCATGAGGCCCTGAAATGGTCAAGGACCTCATTCCAGGGCAAAGAAAGGACAATTCCTCTGCTCCTACATGCAGGGATGTAGCGCTAGAACATGAGCTAGGCCAGGCTTAGACCCTGGACATTATAGTCATAAGCATAGGACACACAAAATAATTGCATTGGAAAAAAACCATCCTGCCTAAATTTGATAATTTCCCATATAAAATCGACTCTTTTCACATACAAATCAGTCAAACGTGTCTTGATTCTCAGAAAAGCTGTCAGATATTATTTTCTCCCCATCTGTGTGAAACTATGTTTCAGAGGTTTACATTTAACCTCCTGGAAAGACACTCAGCTCTTCTACCTTGGAACAAAGAACTCCAGCTGGAGACAGTGGAAGCGCCTGAGACGAAGTTGCACTGATTCAAAAAGGCAATGTTTGACATACCCTGGGGAAGCAGAAAAACGCAGATGGACTCAAATGACAGCAAGAGGTTCATAGTGACAAATCTGAAAGGAAGAAAAAAAAAAGGGGGAGGGGCAGGGAAGAAATATTAATCCAATTCCTAAAACAGGTTTCTGTAGCTGCAGCTAATCATCTCCTCGTTTTCTCACGTAGTGAGTTTGTAAACATTTGATCTAAAAGGCAAAAGCACCGCAGGTACCCTGAGGAGAAGAGTGGGAAACAGAAGGAAGAAAACTCACGAAAACAAAAGGAGTTATAAGAAAGAAAGTTCTCCCTATAACATCCTCTAAAAAACAGAGAAAGCAAGCTTTGCATGGGAAGGAGGGATCTACCCAGCCACCCCTCCTCACCTTCCCTCCACAGCCACCCCAGACCTTTTGTCCCTTTCTCTTCCCTCCCTGCTGTTTCTTCCACTTCTATACGCTCCTTTTTCAAAATGAGCGCCATCAGGGCACCCTGTGATCCCCATCGCCCCTGGGGCAGTCCAATGGAGAGTCGAGGGGAGCATCCCACTTTTCCGGGGCTTTGCATGCCTCTGAGGGTGGGGGCAGAGCCGTGGCCACCAGCACCCACCACGACTTTGGCTGGGCCAACGGCTGGCTCCAGGGCCGCGGGGTCTGGGTCGCTGGCTGGCCACCTCGCCATGGCCTTACCCCACCCAGGGGCGTCACCTCCCAGGAGGCCAACCACAGGCTCCTTTGGGCAGAGACAAAGCAGAGGGGGACAGGTCCCATGGAGTGCTGCTGGCCGTCATCCTCACAGGCTTTCATCCACACACCACCGCAAGCTCTTTCGGCCCTTACATTTTCTGAGGACTGGCTTACTGAGGAGATGCTTTTACATATAACTGTTAAGCAAACCCAATTCTCTGCTCGTTTTTCCCTTGAAATCACAAAAGCTGCCATCATGTTGCAGGTGGACTTCAGTGACACTTTCAAGCATGCCCAGATTTAGACTAAGCATGTCTGGCAGAGGCCTAAGCTTTCTATTTAAAACATGCATATTTATTTTTTCTGTAGCTTAAAAGCATTGGGTGCACTCAGTAGAGCAAATTTGACCAGATTCAGGCTGGGTTTCCCTCTCTCATTGCAAAAGCAGATTTCCCATATATAAAGACAACTAAGTGCATTTCTTAACAACCGGCTCTATTAAGCAATTGTTTTTCCAAGAAAACAGGGAGGACTTTTTCACAGGAAAGACTTGTCTCTGCAGCAAATGATATATTTTAATAAACAGTCAGGAAGAACCTACATTTGTTAATGAAATCACCAAAATAGGCCTGTTCACCATCAGTCCACATACCACCTTTTTGAAAGCGTAATCTGGCAAACCTCACGCTTCAGAGAAACAGAGATCGGGAAACAGCTTTTCTGGAGTTTCCTGTGTGGTGTCCCACACTACCTGTCCATAATTCAATCTTTGACCATTTTCAGCTTCTAATATAGCTATATTAGCTCCTACAGGAAGGAATATATTGTAGGAGTTAGAGGGAGGAATTGAATATAGGTTCTTCTCTTGGTCTCAGACTTGACTTGCTGTTTGACCTTGGCCCTACCGTTCAATTTTAGTTTCTTGCTTCCTCAGTTTGAGAGAGCCAATCTCAAAGGAGGCAATAATTTTTCTTTCAGATGGAGGTATTTCAAGCCTGGAGCAGGACTCTTGCTGCACCTTTGGCATCCAGAAAGGCTCAGATGACACTCTGCAAGTCCTGGTAGCAAAGGCAACTTTTGAGCACGCAGCAGGCAGGGATGCTGGGGTAGGAGACTCAGCCCAGGCTCCTGCCAGCACAGGGCTGAGGAGCCTGGTTCGACAAGCCAGGCTTGCTGGGGGTGGGTGGATGGAGATGAAAGGGAAGGATCAAGCCCGAGGCAGTTGTTAATAGCCCAGGAAGAGAGGGAGGGAGGAGGGGAGCAACAAAGGGAGGTGAGCCTGTGGTGTTTGTACTGGAAAAGGCACCATGCTTTGCTGAAAGCAGCAGTGAGAAGATATACAATAGCTGATTATTTGGTACAGAAGATACCAAAACTAGGGAAAACAACAGCTCTATCTCAGTTTTTTTGAGATGGTAGAAGATATATTCTAGCAGTTGAAATAAGATGATGGGAATATGTAAAATAACCATTTTTCGAGATGAAATGAAACATCTTTATCAAGTTTCAGTCCTAATCTCTTGCAAGACTGGCAAACAGCAGCTCCTCCACCGGCTTTAGCAAGATAGAAATAGTCCCTTTGAGGCAGCTCCAGAAGCAGAGCTCAGCTAGATCTGACACTCACCAGACGCAAAGGGAGTTTTCCCACCAACTTCGGCATGCCTCAAATCAGCTCTTGCAGCCCACTATGGCTATCCCACAAAGTCAGTGCTCTCTGAAGAGGTAAAACCTTTACTCAGTTGGAAGCTTACAAATAACATTGGGCAACTCAGATACAAAACACAGTACTGTTATTTGTGCCTAAAGAAGAGGCCCTTGCCAAGATTTTCAGTTGCTCCAAGAAAACTACCTAATTTGCACTACAGACATCAAATACAATAAAAAATAGCAGTAAAAATTACGAGGGATGGCTGATCTATTACATTCAGACAAAAATCTGGGACTGGGATGACTGCTATCATTTTCATCCACAAAAGACTCAGAGGCATCCAAATACTTCTGGAAATCCCTCTACCATGCTGGGTAAGTCTGCACACATTTCTGGGTCTTGATTTTCCTATGTGAAGCTTCAAATTCCAGGACACATGCAAAGCTTTAAGCTATAGAAACTTCTCCTCTGGGCAGGCTGTTCTGTAATTTTTCATTTCAGAAGAGTGGGTGAGAAACCCAAAGTGACTGGTAGTCTGTCTTACACTGCAGCATAAGTCTCCAATCATTACCTCTGCTGGAGAAATCTCTAGCACTCCTCCCAGGTATACCTGGGCAGACCAAAGCTTCTTTAAGCCCATGCAGTTGCCTGCACCCTACAGCCCCTCACACCACAGCCAAGGCAAGATAGCAACAGCAGCACATTCAGTTACCCACACAGGTCTCTACCGAACAGAGGGTTAGAAAAGCATCATTGTTGATACAGTAATGCTCACCTTCATTGCATCTCACGTTTCTTTATCCTGCTTCAGGCGCTTTACAGGCATCTTCCTGTAATGTATCCTCCAACACACCCACCAGACTGCTGTTGCCAAATTAACAGATCCCAATTTGGCTTAAATAAAGGAAGATAAACACAAACCTCATCAAGGAAGCCGTTGGGTCACTCAGTAACTTCAAGCCCCAGCACATGGCAAGGAGGTAAGGTTACACTTCTGCCATTCCCCGAGGGCATGCTTTCTTGGAGCTAATTCCAGAGCACAAAATACCAAAAGGAGGACAGGCCTCTGCTTGCAACCAGATGTGACAGGCATGGGGGGATTTCAGGTTGCTTTTGCACAGAACACTGAGGGATGGAGATGTTTCTACAACTTGGTCTTATCTTGGGCTTAAATCAACTAATTTGCAGGATGAATACTTTAGCTTTCAGTCCAGCTACACCCTCAGCAGCTGAAATCAACTGAAGGCTTCATTGTTGCCAGCTGCTCATTAACTCTAGTCCCAGCACCAGCAGCAGTCAAGTAAATTTAGATAAGAGCTTTGCTGGGGTGAGGGAGGGGGAAAGATGAGAGTGAAGGACCTTTTATCTTCCTGTTCATAAAGAAAGGGTATTTCAAAAACATCTGCATTAGTATTGGGTCAAAACTAATCATTTTTTTTAAAGATACACAGTAAAAACTCATATTTTTGGTATGCAGATTCCCACGTTGCTACATAAATATGATGACCACATTTGTAAACCTAAGAGTGTAACCATGGCTGCTTTATTTGGAGGGGTGAAACAGGAGAAGGCAGAGAGGGGTAGAGGGGGAGAAAAGTTTTTCTTTTAGACAAGAGAGTCTTGTCAATATATCTTTCACCACCCATAAAATACCTGAGTTAACTTATTGTTACTGATGAGAGGGATCTGAATTGTGGTCTTAAGACACTGAATCCAAAACTACTGGCCGCTACGGTCAAGTGGAGAGGGAACTAGATCTGAATAGCACGGCTATACCCAAAACTGGCTAACTATTTGGCTGAGGATGGATCTAAAAAATTATATGGGCTGATGTTTCCATAAGAAAGCGAAACAGGTCGGTAGTTGGTTGTGTTGTGCACTCCTGATACCTTGTTGAACTTATCTGGCATGAAGCAACATCATCAGATGCTATTGTATGTACACCCACATAAAAAACCACACACACACCATTTCTACAGATGTAGCAAAACAGTTAACATCATGTGTACTACTATGGGGCAAATGTTACTCTCGTACTGGAACAAGAAGAATATTTAAAAGTACCAGTCAGCTGCTTTAATTAAAACCCACCTCTTCTAATATCAGAGGCCTGGCTTGCAAGGAAAGCATCCTCTAGCTCATTCTTCAAACTCTCCTCCTTCCTTTTAACAGTAAGAGAAAAAGTAGAAAAGATTATGCTGCATTTTCGTTAAAGCATAATCTTAACAAGTCAAGCAGCGCCCTGACAATGCAGTTATAACACTGTGGTTCCCTTCAGAGCTTGTCTGTTGGACAGGATGTGACACCCAGCTTGCTGAAGGGATCCCAATGACCTACTGGCACAAAGGAGATTTCCTGGAGGCTGGACGTCTCCTTTCAAAAGGGAATTTGACTTTCAAGGGAAGGCGTTAGCATTGTCAGTTAAAATAGCAGCTTCTCTGTTGAGTTGAGTTCCCCCAGAGTCCTTTCACGCTTCCTCCTCTCCCCGCCGTTCTCCTGGGCAGCAAGTGGACAAATACCACTTTAGCTCTTAGAAACAAAAGCGCTTGGACATGAGACAGGGATGTGCGCGTTTGCTTGGTTGCCAGCTTCCAGTCTCACCTCACCCTAGGCACCAGTGGAGATCAGGAGGTTGGTCTGAAGGGACAGTCCCACTGCATCCTCGTTTGGCAGCCGTCACAGACACAGATGTCTGCGAGCAACCCCACAGCCCTATCCGCACAACAGGGGTAACACGTCCTCTGTGCTGCTCTCTGCACATCACCTTTCAGAGAAGGAGGTGCTAGGAGCTGTTTTGACATTTAAGGGGTTGAAAGAGAA